ATCTATTCAGTGTGTTTGTCAGTATTAAAATTTGCCCTTGCTGAATATGCTACGAATGCGTTCAGTTCCAAATAGAAATACGAAAAATTAACCGGAGTGGGTCCCGTTATCAAAAANTGGTTTAATTCGCTTCCTAGGTATAAAGGCTTTCTGTGTTGACTGAAAACAACAAAAACAAAAACAATGACTAAGGCAAGTGCCTTGAGCATTTTGCCTCCTACTAGCTACGGCCCTGATGACATTCAGTCTGTGAAGGATTCATAAACGTTCAACACTTAATACATTTGCTGTTTACAGTCATGGGTGCATTCATGCCCACCCTGATGATTTGAGGAAAATCGACAAAATTCTCAAAGAGCTTGGTGTCAAGGTGAGGCCAAACCCCTTTGGAAAACTACCGTATCCTTACCAGCCCCAAGGACTGCTTTCAGTACAAGAGATTGTGTCTGTGCGACCTCCGTCCACTGAGGATCACTGAGGGACATTATTAATATAATATGATTGACAAAAAGCATATTTATTATGAATTTCTTTTTATTACGATACTGTCAGTTGACTAAACCAAGTTTCAGTGTCACATACATGTACAACCCAAGTCAGACTAGGAAACTGGCATGCTACACTGTAGTTACTAACTAAGATTGACTGGAACAAGTACATTATTTGGTTATTATAATTACTCGAGTAAATTTACAATTAAAAGCAGTTTTCATTTTTCTGTATGGAGGTTGATGAGAACAACTAAAGATCTACTGACTATTTTACATTTATGTGTTAGATTAATTACTGAATAGAGTCTTCAGTGGACTCCAATTATTAGTTGTTTGTTTTAGAAGAATGAACCCAAGCAGTATACATTGAACCAAATTGTCTTTACATGTAGCTCCTAGACCCCTTTATTTTGCCCCAGTCAATTTTTCTCAGGTTGCACGTGAAACAAATTTATGATCAAAGCCATGGCCAGTCACAGAAGAAGAGTTCAACATGGGACTTTATTTCATTCTTAGTTCTTTAAAAAGCACATTTGGAACCCTCACTAGAATTTCCTTTCTTCTTTCCCCTCTTCCCAACCCCAACCAATCTAGCTGGTGTATTGCTTATTGCATACATGTAGGAAAATTTACACATGTGTGACAAGTCCCCTGTATTTGTACTGTCAATAGTAAATGGGAAGTGCAGTATCTATTTTTTTCGTTTTAGTACGAGTTATTTCTTCAATTTTCAAAAATCTTTACGTACTCCTTAAAGAAATTTGTCCCCTCCTAAAAATAAAAGTCAAATAGCCAAAGTGCAGGTAGTTTTTGTCATTTTGGCCAACAATAAACACAAGGATAGTTTATGATAAAATACAAAAGGGAGTTACATTTGATTAATTTAATAAATATTAATATTATTATTAGTACTATTAATTAATCAATGAAACCTGTTTTGTTGAAGAGCCTTTGAAATACTAAATAATAGGTATTTAAATGTTTATCCCAATTCTAGTTCAGTGCCAAATATTTTCAAACGTGTTCCCAACTGGGAAAGAAAGTCATCTCTTGACTTTGTACATGAAATCACTGTGATTATCAGTTGAGTGAGGTGCAATGGATGTTTGGCAACCAGTTTTTAACATTAAAATGGTGTCGTTGGAGCAATAGCTCTATATCCAGTGGCAACTTGTTGGCCTTTGACGTCATTACCTACAAATTGTAGGCAACGCACAGCTGTTGACATTCTTACCACTGGAAACTAGGAAAGTTGACGAGACAACACCATAATTTTAAACTTTGTCACCAAACCTGAGACTATTGAATTAGTTGACATTGGAAAAAAGTTGATATCATTATAAATTGCTGTCATTTCATAGTTGTCAGCATCTTTATCACTATAACAACAATAATTGTCATCATTTCATTGCCATCATTACAAGGATCACATTCTGTAAAATTTGAATGTACAAAAATCACTGAATTTCCTGGAGTTTAAAAGCTGATATAAACTTGTGCTAAAGTAGGAAATATTTCTGTTGTACATGTAGTTTGTTCTAGTCAATAATGCTAATAAAAATACCTTCAATCAAAAACAAAATTTGTGTTCTCGTATGTTACATTGTAGTCTCAGTGGCAAACAAATCTATGCATCATTAGAGGAATAGTTGTCTCTCTGTTTAAAACCACAATAAATAGACCAAGTCTTCATCAAATGATGTCTGAATAGAGGCCATTAATTACGATGTACAATAAACAACTTGCTGACCCTTCCACTAACACCCCCCAAGGTCCCCCCTCCCACCTAGCCTAGTGATTATTTTTTAGTTTATCTTACAACAATAAAAGTTAGTTTGTGTAACCTGCAAACCTAGAGTTTGTAGCACTAGACAGCCTTGTGTTTTGACAGCTAAAAATATTGCTCTAGTGGGGCAAAGCCCAAGCTGCGACTATTACTGGCTTAATAAGCTCCTCTCAGGAAATGAACCCAACTGAAAGGTAGTTGTGTCACGTAATTTCAAGATGATAAGGTGTTGTTGATAAATTATTTGTAAATATTAAACCTCCCAGCTATCCATCCACTTGTAAACTGCAGCAGTTGAATCAGGCAGATGAGCCATAGGACCTGACATGCCATAGGACAGTCCTCGGAATAACCAGAAACTGTGAAATCAAAAATAAGATATACAGTGTAATTTTCTTGTACAGTGTTTACAAGTGCCGACTATTCTGAATAGCAGAAAAGGTAGAGGACTTCGACAAAGGGGAAGGGAAAGAATAACTTCCTTGACCTTTCAAGAGTGGTTTCTGACTATACGTTTCTGACTGAGAGTTTACAATTTAGTTTACAGCTACATTTTGCCTTTTCTACTTTCCTCTCACTGCACTTTATTTTTAACAATACTGTGTTCATGTCGTCAAGTGGAGAAATACAAAATACAACACAAAGTCTAGTTGGTTGAGGTTTCATGAATGAAATGGCAGAAAATTAATAATTTTATATTAATAATTATTATATACTTCTCATAATAATCATTGCAAAAACCTTGCCATGATGAAATCTTACCTCATGATACATCCTGCCAGAAGCAAACAAACAGCACCATGGTATGCCACCTGCCTCCATTTATCAAACTTTGATATTAAGGCTAATGATTTGCACAGATACTGGCTGACTATACCTGAAAAAAAAACCCAAAAAAACAAGGAGCTGACAACTGGGCAGTTTAAAAAAAAACCTTTTCAGAACAAGAAAGCAGGCACCCAAGTCAAGCAAAATCTGAGGTTTGTGTAACGACTGACAGAGAGCTGTAAGTTAAACTAAGGGCTGCGAGGAGTGAGGACAAATGAAGCCTGTACTATTGCACAGAATCAGGTCACCATTTTATTATATATAGTGTATAGTCATGTAAAATTACTAAATATGTATATAACTCCTCATCCGATGCTGTGTCCCTCTTCATTATTTTGAAACCAACCTCACTTTGGAACACCATCCACGAACATAGGATGGTTATTCAATAATAAAATTAGGCAGTGCAAAACTAATTTTTTTTTATTCTGGTTCAGGCCATACAAAAATTGTGGACATGGCTAAAATTCCTTTTTACCCCTGCAAGAGACCAATTCTTCTTGTCAACAAGTACTTTTTTACAGCCTCAAGGTCTACCTAAAAGGTATGTTAAATGGAACAACTCACACAGTGGAAATTTTAGATTAAATCATACTAAGCATTACAAAGCCATGAGCTTGATTCCTGAAAAATATGTCTATCACTCCTGTTATTTTAAAATGGGGGGGGGGGGGGGGGGGGGAAGGGTACTCTACAAAACCTCTGTTACAAAACAGTTTCCAGCGTGCAAGAGCATCATTCTGGTTTTTTCTGCTCTTGTTTCCTTGGCATGTGAAACAAGAGCCGCAAAACCCCGATGTTCACGCAGTCTCTAGAGACATTTTCAAACCTGCTGCATGTACTAACCTGCCATCATGGCACTATAAAGGTATGCAGGGAAGTAATGGTGGAAATACAAAACACGACCCATGGTATAGAATGGAAAGTAGTGTAATGCCCAACCAAGGAATAGCCATCCACATGCTGATTCCATTCTTTTTCTTCGAGCTGAAAACAGATCAGGCAGAATAAAAATATAATTATTATTATAGTGGAGCCCCATACCTTAGAAAATTTGGTAACCTATCGATCTGAAACATTTTGGTTGTCATGTGACTGTACGCATGTACGTACGTACGTACGTCCTTCCTTCCATCAATACCTTGAAAACTAAGAGTAGCACCATTACCATAGCTACATCTTTGATTTTGGGCGTCCACGCTATTGTTAATTGACAGCTGTCACAACAAGCTATCCACTGACCAGTATCACGTGACCATATCGCGGGCTCAGGTTTAGAGCTCATTGAGGTTGCGTGTTTTTTTTTAAAAATGACCGCTGACCAGTTACTGGTTTACCGATTGGATCGCGGGCTCAAGCCACATTATTTCTCTTGGGGGGGAAGGAAGGAGTACTTGCAAAGGCAAAATTTCGGCGTAAATTAACCCCTGGCACATTGTTGACTTTTCTTCTGACATACATGTATTCCTTGTACAATCATCTCTTGGAAAGTCCCCGATATATTGGATACATAATTTCTACAATCTTGGTTAGGCTTGTTGGGTATAGTTTGTTAAAATTTAACTGGAAAAAAAATAGCAGAACCACACGCTGAAAAATTACATGCTCACAATTGATAATTTTTGAGTTTCTGATCCAAGAAAGAATAATTCTCTTTTTCCTTTATCGTCAGTTATTGCAATCAGGAGCTCCACTTTTAGGCTTGTCTAAATCTATTTATTAATAATTATAATAATTTTTTGNTTGTTGACTTTTCTTCTGACATACATGTATTCCTTGTACAATCATCTCTTGGAAAGTCCCCGATATATTGCATGCATAATTTCTACAATCTTGGTTAGGCTTGTTGGGTATAGTTTGTTAAAATTTAACTGGAAAAAATAGCAGAACCACACGCTGAAAAATTACATGCTCACAATTGATAATTTTTCGAGTTTCTGATCCAAGAAAGAATAATTCTCTTTTTCCTTTATCGTCAGTTATTGCAATCAGGAACTCCGCTTTTAGGCTTGTCTAAATCTATTTATTAATAATTATAATAATTTTTTGAAAACATGTTCTTGAAAGGCAATTTTAGCATCATGAACTTAGCAGGAGTACAATGCAATCACATTAATATGGACAGCAAAGGGAGACACAAAGGTGTATGTGTCAAGATAAGAAGGCTCTTACATGTACATCTAAAAAAAGCAACATGCGAGATGACACTTTTTTTCTTTTTTCACATGTAACTAAAATAACAGAATGATGACCGTTTGATGTCCTATCTTTAACTTAGGTTCCAACTGAAGAAACTTCAAGTGTTGATTCAAACAGTCAAACGTCTTATACTTATAAATAAGTATAAAATGGCCACACCCCAGGAGAAAGACTGTTGTCAAAATTTAGTATCTCAGGGTATTTCTGCATTCTATTGTATGGGCATTGAAAGACTTGGCTACACTTAAGACAGCCATAAGTATAACATAACATTAATTTTATTGTGCTTTGAGGTAGCCACTCAACTTAGTGGGATATTGAAGGCACACTTGTATAACAGAGTTGAAAGAAAACAATGTGAGTTGGGCTACTGCAAACTGAAGAAAACAGCCCAAAACAGGATTAGATGAATTTAAGTAATGGTCTGGGACTTATGTTTCATAAGCAACTAAGAAGTGTAGGAAAGAAGAAAAAATTACCAGTGTCTATAAAGTAAGGTTTACTTTAAAGTACATGTTACTTTATGGACATGGTAATCTCTTCTTTGTTAGTGTCCACTGTCTATAATTGAGTGGGCATCCATAACCCATGGCATTATACTGTACTGAGCTTTACCAAGGATGAGATGCAAGTCTGTAACAGGCTTTACAACAGTTTATTACTAGCTGGCTGTAGATGAGTATCCTAACACCTTTATTACTCTGCTTTACCTTTAATACAATATTCTCTGGATGGGTGGATGGGTGTGTGGATGAGTGGTATTGGTGGGTGTGGATTTAACAAGGCCCAGCTAAAGACACGGTTAAAAGCCCACTGAATGGCATTCTTCAATACTGTATGAACCTTGCTGGATAACAAAGACTGCTTGTCTTATGCAGAAAGATTTTTCAGTTATTTTTGTACACCAAAGTGACTATTATTTTACAGCCCAGATCTGAAGCTTGTCTGATGCACTACTAACCCAAATACCTAATATACTTTTACACCCAATTTCTTAATACAGGTTTATGAAAAGGAGAATGTTATGTTCACATCTACCTTGCTCTTGAGGAGGGTCAATATATCCTCTTTGTGTTCTGATGGCATGGAAACTATACAGCAAACCAAACAAGCACATGATGCCCAAAACATACCACCAGATAACCTAACAACAATTCATGGACAGCTGGCATTAATTCAAAATAATTTTTATCCATTTAAAAGTAGCTCTAACATGTACGTTAATACCTTAGATAGGGGTAAAGTATATTATTGTGTTGGCAGAATATGTTAAGATAGCATACATGTATGATCACTAAATATCTGATCACCACGGATCATCTTTTGAATCATTGTTTACTAGAAAAGAACATGAGTTAGTTTGATTTTTAATTAATAATCAATGTCACTACTAAAAGAGACACCTACCGGATTGCCAAGAAGATACACACGATAATCTGCACCAGAAAATACCTGGCCCTGAAAAAAGTAAAATGGACAATGAACTGAAATGTGGGAGAACAGTGAAATGTAGTTACTTATTTAATATCAACAACTACATGCAAAAAAAGATTAACGAGCCCCTTCATTAAGGTGTTGAATGTTAAATTTTATCTGCCAGTTTTACAATAGAACCCTTTGACCAAAAAATTAAACTACTCTCCATTGTCACTCTCCCCACCCAACCTTCTTGTCCACTAGTATATGATATGAATGTAAATAAGTTTAATATGGAGCCCATCACCAAAAGCAACCAACTGTCCTATATTCCTGTCACAGACTATAACTGAATTTCCCATGAATATCACACTGCCGGAGGAGACCCGATGACCAATCATATCTTAAGTATCTTTGAGTATTTTCATCTTTATGTCATCGCATCACCAGAAGATTTTTGGGATGTAATTAACATATTTTATTTGTCCAAATTATTGATGTGGGCTCATGCGGACCAGAACTTCAGCCAATTTTGCAGGAAAAGGTAAATCTAAAAATAAATTGGTCTGCAGAAATGTGGTTGCACAGGCAGGGCTTAAAATAACAGCCGGTCAACAGACAATGTCCGGTCAGAATGGTGACTTGACTGGCCTAAAACTTCACTCACCCGTCGTGTTGACCAGTCACGTCATGCGGAGACGGTCACATTGTTCATTCTTGAATAAACAATCAAATCCTCAACTGCAAATCTTAAATTTTTAATCTCTTTTATATTATGACCTCTCAAGCGGAAACATACACCAGCGGGTATCTGTTCGAGCGGCTAAAAATCGTTTGCTCGCTGTTTGTCATGCGTTCAAGATCGATAGGAATGCCATGCGAATGGCTGAGGTTATCCATTCAGTAAAATATTCATCCATTTGAACAACTGCTGTTAACCGTTCTAAAAAAATTTTCACCTGTTAGGACGGCAGAGGTTTTCAATTCAGAATTCAAAACTATTCAGCATTTGGAACAGGTTTTCCGTACAGCAAAGGGAATCCAATCAGATTCAGCTTTTCGTGACGCTTTAGATTTGCCTAACTGTCACACCTTTGCCACAGAGCACCTCTCTTTGTTGCCTCAGTCTATGTTTCAAAGGCATTGCTCTACAGATGTCAAGATATTTGTCGTTTCTTTCACTTTCACTGAACAAAAATCGACGAACAAGATGCCAGAACAGAACTTTTTGTTTGAGTGTCAAGTTGTTTCCAACTTTGCCACTATGGGACTCCGGGACATCAAAACACGCATTTTGCAGTCTGCTTGGTTTCCATCAAGCCGAAAGTGTAAAGTGAGCACGAACCCAGTATCTAATTGGAACCAAGCAATAAAAGTTACTCAATGGCAGATCCAAACCTTGAGCTAAAATGGGGGGGGTTTGATTCCATCTGTAATTTCTTCTTTGTTTTGCCCCGGGGCCACTCCCCTAGATCCTCCACTGTTACTGTTACAAAACGGACGAAAATAATTATGTACTAACAAAAAAGCCAAAGACCTCAGTATCTGGGGGCAGCTACTGTTAGAGTTATCTTCAGAGGGTTAAAGCGTGGAGTTCAGAGTTGCAAAATTCTGAACTAAAGATTTTGGAATTCAGGATTTTTATCCTTCAAAATCTTGAATTCAGGATTTTGGCCCTCCAAAATCTTGAATTTAGATTTTGACAGTCGTTAACTCTAACTCTAAGACATAACTCTACTGAAATAACTTGTATCGCTAGTCAACCTCTAGCATCTGTATCTGTAAATTTACTTTGTTCGCGAATGAAATTTGAGACACTCTCAAGTCCTTGCTTAGCACGTGACCAAAATCTACCCACTATCAATGGTAAAATCTACCGAATAGTCATTAGTTACTGGTCATTAGTTCTTTGTGAACGAAAACTCTCTCTAATATGCATGACTACAACAGAGTTTAGATTTTTTATGGCTTACACTTTAGAACTTAATTTTAGTCACATCATTAAGAAACTTCCCAACACTTGTTCTGTATTCGTAGTAACGCGATGATTTGTTGTGCGTTTGCAAGGGTGAGAATCAAGGAAACAAAAACTTCTCTTTGGCTAGATTTGTTTACCCAGTTAATTGTGTAGCCCAAAATTAGGATCTGCTGAAGCATGTTTGGTTTCATTTACGTTTTGATGGACATAAATACTTTGTAGAACATCAAAACAACAGCTCGTGGAATTCAATATAGCGATCGAAAAATTCGAAGTTTCATCAAATATGCATCCGTTCAATACTTTTTTCTTTGGCAGGTGGCAATAATTCCACTGACAGCGTGCCACATCATCGAGCTGCTGAGCCCTGCCAAGGCTATATTTGGTTAAGTTTTAAGCTTTTCTTTGTATTAAGCCAATTTCTAAACTGCCTAGCAACGACTGGAGCAAACAAGTTATATTTGTGGATTTAATTAGGCCAACATTACTTACTTTTTAAAAAATGTCTTGAATGGTCGGAAACGACACATGATCAAGCTAAAATTACTTTGGCCAGCAACATGACTGGCCACAGTCAGAAAATTATTTTGAGCCTTGATAGGCTCAGTATTGGAGCTGGATGCTCCTGGTGATGGGCTCCAGGTTTACATGTAATTTGTTACCCTGAAGTTGATTGGCCACTGCCAAGGCTGTGATGTCACTTCTCCTTCTTTTGGTTTGAATCCAGAGTTAGTCTGAAGACAACAATCAATCACACTAATTAAATTAACGCATCATTACTAATTAAAAGAAATGTCAGTCAACACAGAATTAACCTCTATAGAACATTATCATGATTTTTTCTTTAAAATAGTTGCGAGTATCATACCTGAGCCATAACAACGTGTGATTCATAAACACTACCAAGAAAAGAAGGCCTGTAGAAGTCAGAAGCAGCCTTTGGCACTAAAATTATAAACAAATATAAAAGTGTCCATCATTGGACAGGGGAATAGACTTAATCATTAAAACATCTACTGTACACATACAGTACTAAAGCTTACAATAAGTGCCTGGCCTGTAAGATAAAGTTACATGTACCATAATGTCTGGTTTGATCAAGTTGCTCACAGTTCGGTCAGTGTTCAGTTGCATATTAAGTAAAAACCTCTTACACTGTAGGCAAACAAGAGGATAAAGAAGACAAATGATTTTTCTGCAAAATTACTATATTTATTTTAGTAGACTCCATGATCAAACACGACAGTCTGCTGTTTATACCCTATTAGAGTTTACTTTAAATCTTGTATGTTTTCTTTTTCTTCACCTCTTTCATTTTCATGACCTTCAACATTCCAAAGGTTATGTGAGTGATGTGTAATAGGATTGCATGTCACTTCCAGCTGCTCCCAGCCCCTGTACAAATAAGGCAAGTTTATAATAACTCAGATGGCCTCTTGAAACTGTCCTTTATGGCTACTATGGTGTGAAGATTAAGTTTGATGACCAATCAAAATAAAGTAATACTGTTAGCATTGTTAGCATTATTATCATTATTATTATTATTATCATTATTATCATTATTATTATCCTTATTATTATTATTATTATTATTGTTACTATTATTATTATTACTGCAAAAGTTAATTTACAAACCGCGTACCATTTGGGCAACACCTGTGTGCTGCCATGAAGAGCACAACCCAAATTGACATGAATAAGCCTGAAAACTGTCTTAACAGTCTTGATTCTTCCATCAGCGCCTTCACCACTCACAATTTCTACTCGCCAAAAATCATTTGCATCTCCTTTCCCATTCTAAAAAAGAAAAAGAAAAAAGCATTTATTCAACAGTTTATCATTTAAAAGCTATAACAGCAACACATGGTTTACTACTCAGGGAAATTGAGAGGGGTAGTGGCCTAGTGATCAGCACACTAGACAAGACACTTCTTTTTCACACTACCTCTGTCAACTCAGTTGTACATAAAATAGATTTTTATCAATTTTTTAATTGATACTGCACAGGGATATTTAATATTCTCATAAATCAATACTTTGGTTTATCATAAACCAAAGTATTGATTATGAGAACAATTAACTCCAGTCGGTTCAGTAACATGAAATAACAAATCAAAACTTTCAGCTATGTTCAATTAAATTATGAACATCAGTCCTGCCAGACTTTGAAATTTGAACATCAATCAATCCAAAATGTTACAATACATCTGTGTTTGTGTTCTACATGTAGATGCATTTACTATAGAGTCTTCACTATGGACGTTATCTACAAACCTTAGGCTATTTTACGTAAAAACCTTGCTTCATTTCTTCTACTAGGGAAAAAACAGAGCTTCCTTCTCATACCTTCTCATGTCAATATTTCCGTTGAGATCTATGCTACAGTCCATGGCCATTTAGCTTTGATTATCAACATTACATTTTCAAGCACTTACATCTCCATAGCCGGTCACTTGATTGTGATGTGTGGTGAGCGGAGCTTTTTCTGTATGACTGTGGAGGTTTCTCTTAGTCCTAATCAACAAATTAAATGATTTGATTTTTTAAACAAAAAGTTACATGACCATCAATATGCAGACTGGAATAAGTGGTTGACAAAGTGACCCTTAAGATTCAGAAAAAAAAATCGGTAAATATTTGGATATATATTTTTTCAATTTAAGATTAATAAGAGACTTCTATACAGCTAGTATTTTTTAAATTAATGTACATACGCAACATGTTCCAGTCTGATCCAGTCTCCATTCTTAAGATATTCTAAAGGTTGCTGTCCACCTATGAAGTTAAGATCAAAACTGTTACATGAATGAGAAAGCAGCAAACTGATGGCATTATGTAGAAGCACACTCAGTAAAATGTTACGGAGTATTGCATTAGAGCAACAGGTGTGAAATTCAAATGGAAGTCCAGGGATGAAGTCCTATGAACTGGACTGACCACCAGGAGGTGCTGTTTCAAAGCCTCAAGAACTTTTCATTCCTCCACAGCACTTATCAAAATAAAACAACTGAATGGCCTGCTCCCTAACAGATTCTGAGTTCAAACAAATGTGACTTCAACTATGCTGACTGTAAATACATGTACTAGATAAAACTCCTCACCTGACATGAGTAGGTTAAATTCTTTAACTAAAGCTACCTAACAGTGTTTAGGAGAAAACAAACAGTCACCAAGTGTGTGACTGTCTCATTCTGTACTCACTGTAATCCTCGTAAGCCTTTTTTACCAACCACTTGTTATTATCATCTTTGTGGGAGTAGCAAGTGATCTGAAATGCAAGATTTCAATGATTTATGGCTTCAATAACATGCATCTCACTGACACCTTTAAGTGTAACTTAAATTAAGTGCACAAGTGGAGGGGTTTCAGTAATGTTTTCAGTAAGAGGGCAGCTGGTTTTCACAGGCAAACCTTTCTGAACTGAATTTCTCTATAAGAAAAACTTTCCTGTAGATGGTCAAACCAGGCAGGCAAAATCATCTTTACAGCCAGTCAATTTGCCCAGTGCCTGGCCCTTAATGAAACCCCTGCAAGTGTATGACACAAATTGCCTTGCACATAGAGGAGCAGTGACCTCATGGTTAGTGCACTCAAGATCGTGTGGTGTGGGTTCAAGCCCTGGCCAGGACATTGTGCTGTGTTCTTGGGCAAATGATTTCACCCTCATAGTGCCTCTCTCCACCCAGGTGTATAAATGGGTACTGGTGAACTTACAAATGCTGGGGGATAACTGGCATCCCATACAGGGTGAAGTAGAAATACTTCTAGTCGCTTAATGCTACTGAAACAGTTCAGAGAAAAGCACTGGCCTAGTGGGCCACTTGGCTCGTATGGCTAGTGAAAAAGTTAGCTTTAAAACCACATAGTTACATACAATAGGTAGGTTTGCAATCTGAACTTTAACAAATAAATGTATCATAGAGATGAGTATACAACATAAGACTAAGCAGAATTAAAAGCAAAAACGTTCACCTGCTGTTGCTCAGGGGGGTGTTCCTTTGGGTACAGATGTGTATGAGAGTGTAAAAGAGCCCCTCCAGCTCGCGCATTCTTAAGGGTAATAATTGAACCAAAAGCCAGGTCTGAGAAAAAAAAAATTAATGTAAAAAATGTAATTATATATAGTTAAATGGAATTTAACATAGTTAATGACTAGGAGCTAGTCTGGTCAGTAGTGTTTTTATAGGCAGTTGTTAGTGTCTTGGCCGTCTGTTAGCGTTAGTTTTGGTGCGTTCTGTAGCGTTTGATATAATTCAATGAAATTTTACATAGTTTATGACCAGGAGCTAGTCTGGTCAGAAGAGTTTTTTGTAGGCATTTGATAATGTCTTGACCATCTGTTAGCGTCTGTTAAGCGTTTAGTGCATTCTGTAGCGTTTACAACAGTCATATGGTCATGAGAGCCCTGGGGCTGACATTGTCCAGCGGTATTATTTTTTGGTTAGTATGTGTGTTGTCGTCCCATGTGTTTGCAGTGTGTTCGTCACTCTGTTAGTGTGGCGTTGTGGATTGAATTATAGTTTTAGCAGTTCTCGGCATTCCCTCCCTATCCCCACCCCCCTCTTTTCAGCATTTTTTTTTCCACTGAGCCATCTGGCTTGAGTGTGATGGGTGCCTGTAGGGGGCTAGGCAAGGGGGGCTCATGGCTTGGTTGCGGGATGGGCAGGCCAGTCGGGTGTTCTAGCACCTTGGGGATGTGACTGCAGTTGCAGCCCCCAGGCTTCGTAGGCACCTTCCCTCCACTAGCAACTTAGGCGTTGATATAAATTTTAATTAAATTTTAACATTATTATAGTTATTATTAAAATAATAAATATATATACAGTACATATGCAACTTTTTAAATTAGAACTCTGATACATAACTATCATGATTTTATAATAATCTTCAACTGTGCATGCCAAATAGTATAAAATGAACTCGTCTGGTAGAAAATGTTCTGCAAAAAAGTCTTTGGAAAAGCACAGGTACATGTATTACAGGCAACAAAAGAAGACAAATTTTGATGGCTCTTAGTAAAAGATGATTTCCAATCCGTACTGTGCACTTTCAAGAGTCTTTTTACATTGTTGTTTTCATTCGTGCAAGACGTCACAAATGTAACATTTTGCAACTACTTACATGAGGTAAATTCAAAGTTTCATGTGAACTCACCGTTGCGGATGCAAATCATTTTCCCTCATGGAAGTTTGGGAAAGCTCAAAAAAACTGGGGAAACACTCACCTGTCAGCTTGTGTTCCCATAACATTTCTTGCTCTGCCAAACTTCCACTCATGTTTCTACAGCTTGATAGAAACTCAACACATGGTTTCTATTTCTTAAAGATCTAATACAAACCTGCAGGTACAACATTCTTGTAGAGAGAATTTCCTTTCAGAGTTGACTGGAAAGCTGAGCTGAAGAAGCCATCACCTGGACCACTAAATCAATTAAAACTATACATGTTATATATTACACCATACATGTAAACGTTGAAACTGCAGTTATTACTGCTTGTTTAGAACACCCTTTGGTACATTTCCATCTTCTAGGAAGTCATTAATAAGGAGAACTTAAAAGCAAGCATGAAAAGTTCTTACTTTGCATGATATATAAGTAAAGTTACATGTAATTTGAAAATCAAAATTTTGACTCAAAATTGTGCATTCAACTCAAACTCAAAATGTCAACTTGAACTCATAAATTAAAAAACTCATCTGGGAAAGAACAATTAAAAACATTCAGTTGTAAACATGAAAAACAGTTTATTACATTTTACTGACATTATCATTTAATTAGTGGTATGATATTCTTACCTGTTTGGCAACATCTTGAAATGAATAGCAAACCAGAAGAGATAAACAAAGATGGGTATCATTATCAAACAAAGCACTCGTGCCACGAAGTGTTTACCAATTTCAAACTGAAAGAAAAAATAACAACCCAACACAGTTTTGCACAACTTCACTCAGCTTTTCAAGAAGATCTGCAGGTCTGTCACTGGTGAGAATGAAGGAATTACTCATCACAGGTACATGGGCATCAAAAGACAAATTCTCCCAACAAAAGGATAGGAAAATTATAATAAAAGAAAAGAAGCAGGGCTGTGCTCCAAAAGCGCCAGGGTGCTGCAGGTGACTAACTTTTGCCTTTGGTTGACTGGAAAAACTTACTTTTTTCATACAAGCTTAAGTAAATAAGTGCTGGGTACCCAGGATTTCATGGTTAGGAACCTTTGGACTCCTCATAATTTTTCTTAGACCACAGCCTTGAGAGGAATTACATGTAGGACACTGACACTGGAACTTGTATGTTCAAATAAACTGAAGGAACTAACCAGCGACAGAGACAGATCTCCAAGAAGGTCCCACAAGTTCATCACTGTAGTAATTCCAGCCCACAGTATGACAAACAGACCAACCCACTTGCAACTAAAACAAAAATCAGATGGAAAACACATATTTATTTACTGTTATCATGATATTAAAGCAGAGAGCCCACTTCACAGAAAATGCTCTTCAGTGGAACCCTTAATTACAATAATAATTAAACAAAAATCAAAACAAAGCCACATCATGTTACATGATAGTTAATAAGTCAGTAAGTCTCAACACTTTTTGGGGTCTAAATATTGCAAGCAAACAAATCTGATTAGTTCCTTCTTCATACATGTATCTGTGAAATCGCTGATTGAACATGATTGATGATCTGGCTTAAAAATATGCATACTCTAATTTACATTCGAAAGTGAAGATGGATAAATGTCATCTGAAACATGTCTTTCAAACTTAAAACCGTGTGTTTTTATTTAAAGATTATTTCTATATAAGTAGTAGTCAACTTGGTCATGTCTTGCTGCATGACTTTGCTCATAGAAATCTCAGGCTGTATATAATTACATGTAGTACTAGTAGCCTAACAATGGGGTCATTATCAGTGATTTACTGCAGCTGTTAGTTCTTTCATCACCTACCTAAATGCACATGACAAAGAGACACCTGATGCAGCCATCCAAGCCCACCATTCAACACTATAAGGACTTAAAAAAAAAAAATGCAACAAAAGTCATGCTACTTCACAACGTCAAACATATACTAAACAGGAAATGGTTTTCAACAGATTACATAACATGTGGGTGTATTAATTTTCGTCACATCAGTAATAGTGTACAACCTTAAGCGAATATCATGTCTTATACCATGCCATAGAAAATACAGCCAATCAGAATACAGGAAAGCCGTTGCACATTTGACATTAGGGAACTTAGGCAAACCACGACAATGACAGCAACGTGAATGTCACAAAACAAAAGATTTAATTAGCAAAACAATAGCTGTGCATGTGCGTTATAAACCGTTGTGCATTTCTTTGCTGTCCTCTGCAAAACAACAACGTGAAATGACCAAGTTCTGCATCGTCTAAGAAACGTGGACGACAACAGCTAATTTTTTGTATTTCCAGTTGGAATTGAACGCCGTCATGGCATATTTAGCTTAAACACGTTTTTAGAGCCATTGCCGTAGTGAACAGATCTAGACAATCGTGAATTTCGTTTGTAAAATATAAATTCATTTTTTACTAGTCATCGTCCTCAGCATCGGCATCGTTGCTTAAGCTCCCTATTATTACACCCAACATTCCCCTGGTGCGCCACATGTATGTCCCATTGTTCGTATTGGCTACTGTATTTTCTATGGCATGGTGTGAAATAGTTATGCATTGCTCTTTCATGGTGTACCAAGGAGTATCCCACTTATCACATGTATTTTCTTGATCTAAATGTGTGCACTGTACTCGAATAAAAGGCTCATGTGCATACCAAAAAAGTACAAGTGACTTGTGAGATACTCCATGGAATACCACTCGGAAGTAATCCATTATCATTTAATGGTACACTTACACATTCTTGCAGTTTTGAAACTTGGTAAAACAGTAAGTCGATAACATGATCCAAAACATCAGAATTGGATCCAGAAGAATGTACTGTGATATCGTCACACATCCGTGATCTGCAACACAGATTGGATTTTCAACATCTGTAAGTTTCAAGATCAGCTTAGAGAGAAAGGGGAGTAAAGAGAAAGACAACAGAGAAGAAAAGTCAGGCATTGGAATAGTTGTAGCTGGACTGCAGGTAGTTATTTTGATATTACATGTAAGTAATTTAACTTTCTCCTAGTTTTTTTTTTGAGTTAAAAATGAGAAACTGATATGGGATAGATGTAGGCAAGGCAAGACATACATTTCTAGGTTTGCGGCCCATTTCTTCTCTAGCATTTAAGATTCAACTGTCTAGCAGTCTAAACTACAATTTAGAATTATAATACATGCACCTGTTTTCCATATAGTACAGTATATGTATCTGCATGTATCAGTTTTTTTAATTTGGAAGTGTCAAATCCCATTTTGAGAAGTGCATCTAGGGCATATTGGAGGAAAGGTCCTAGCTATTTTCCAGTTGGGGAACAAGAAAATTGTGATGATGATATATAATGGAGAGGGGCCATCAGCCACCAGAAACTATGCACCAAATTCACACTCTATGAAGGAAGGGAAGCCAACAAGCAAGACAGAATAGTTAGGAAATGAAGAAGAGGCAGGGAACGCATTCAAAGACTACAAGGGTGAACAAGATAGGAAGTGATGAATATAATGGTCATATGGTCCAAAAAAGGTATACAGGAAATAAATCGCAGCATTTAATAAAGTAATACAACCATTGCATGACTTGACTTACCAAACACAATAAACCCTGTGCTCAGAAGAGCAGCACCTGTTGACTTGGTAAGTTCCCATACAGTGAGGTAAGCAAGCGGCACACACAAAGCTCCTAGGGTAGCACAGAACTAAAACATAAAAACAATTAACACCGCTGCATACTTTGATCATCTATAATCCACACATCAAAGGGTCATGAAATCATCAAAGGGAAGAAGAGTGCCTCCCCCAACCCCCGCAAAAAACAGAACTGTTTTATAGTGGTACCAGATTGGAAACATTGAACACAAAATAATGGTTAACCTTCAACCTGAGCTCTTAACTTAACCTAGCAAGTAACCTACATACATGGGGTAGTGATAAAAGTTTCCTAGATGATTTATAAAAAAATATGTATACTAATAAATTTTTTATTAGACAAAGACTGTACAAGAGAAATCTACTGAGAAGCGCAAATGGCATCGGATAAACAGTGTTTGTCATGGATAAATCACAGTGCAATGCTATAAATATATATATGTACATTTACATGTATGACCAAAAAAATAATTGTGGTGCTAGTAAAGGGGTGGATGTGTTAAAGGAGTTCTTCAATATAAAAAAATGACAAAGCATTTTCATGAGGTTAAAAAAAGTAGCTGCCTGAGTAAGATGGTCGTATTAAGTAACAATATTACTGGTAGTGGGAGGCAAGGTTCCACTGTACTCCAGTCAGCCTTGTATTTGATATCGAAATTGACTAAAAACACCCGTGGTAAATAATGATCAGTGTCCAACATTAAAAATTATAATATAGATAGGACCCTGTGCATGTTCTGATTGGTCAAAA